CACCCTGTCCCCCCACCCCCGCCACTCCCCCCACCTCCTAGGCTGGCTCTGCTCCCACGGTTCCGGTGCAAGATGCCCTCCAATGACAGGGTGGGGGTGGGGGCCGGCAGGGGTGTGGCAGCCGCGTCAGAGATAAACACCGCACTGCTGCACGCCTGGCTTCTCTCCAAGGCGCATCGATGGCTGACCTCATTTGGAACCAATTTCGGCGTTTTAATAAGCCCTTTGCTCTTCCGCAGCCGCCTCCCGCTCCAATGCTGACAGCCCCCAACTGTAATCCCCCCTGCCTCTGCCACGTGAGCCCGGCAGGGCCTGCAGCCATGGCAGTGGCGACCCCTCCTCGGGGCTGGAGCATGAACTGGGTGGTGGTCGGAGGTCTCATCCAGGCTCAGCTGCGGGATGATGTCCTCACTCAGGCAGGGACCTTCGTGGATCTCCTCGCAGTGGGAAAATTCCAGCACATCACATCAAGCTGATTGAGACCCGGTGCAAATGAGGCCGACTGGGCGGCAGCGCGTAGCTCGGGGACACTGCAAGGCCGCCTCTGGTCCAGGGGGCTCTGGGCAGCTTACTTCTGCCCCTCTCTTATTCTGAGCACAGTTCCTGGGGAATCTGAAGGTTGAGGCAGCATGGCTCCCAGTGAGTCCTTCGGGGTGGCTGAACCCCCTGAGGGTAAGGCCTCCCCCAGTATCTAATCATGAAACAGCTCTGGGGTTACCAGCACCACTGCTGGCAGGAGATGCCGGGGCCTAGGCACCGAGGCCAGTGCCACGGTGAGATCAGCATGGGGACCTGGGGCTCCTGGGTGTGGGGGACCCCAGGCACCCAGGAGGGGCTTCACCTCCTCCTTTCCAGACGCACCTGCTGGCCCTGAGCTCTGTGCCAAGGGTGGAGGATGCTGGCTTCAGAGGGGTCAATTTTGTGGCTCTGTGAGCAACATTCCCTTCGGAGTCCATCTCAGCAATCCCAGCAGCCACAAGACCCAGGAGCACCCAGCCAGCTCCAAAGGGCACGGCCAAAAGGGGGCTGGAAAGTGAAAGAATGAATGAGTGAGTGAACTAGATCTACATGAAGTTTGAAACGCCCATCTCCATAAAGATGGATGGAGCAGGGCTGGGCCATCGGGTGGAAGGATGTGGGTACAGTGGGCTTGATTCTGGTTCCTTCAGCTGCTCACTTGTGCATTCATGGACTTGCTCACACGCTCACCCTCTTACAAGTGCACAAAAATGACTTTGTGGCAAAACATTTTGTATCCTTTCAGGAGCTTCTGGCCTTGTGCTCAGTGACGGGATGTCAGGGGCCACTGGAGAGTAGAGATGCTGGTCATGTGCATCCCAAGACCCAGAGTCATCTTCCCCATCACTACCACTTCTTAAGAGACGAGAGCAAGACTTCTAGAATGTTCAGACTCTTGAAACCTAACGGAACAAGACGAGAGGTTGGTGAAAGTCGGAGGGTGCGACTGTGAAAGCCAAAGTAGAAGATTCTGCCTGGATGCTGCCACCGTTGGGGTCTGTGGAGAAGAGGCGAGCGATGCCGCAGCCCCTCCAGCTCCCTGCGGACAGCCCAGCGCGCAGAGCCGCAGCGAAATGGGAGTGAGCATAAACTGTGGGTCTCTGACCCAAGTTCTGGATCTGCACACAGCACTGAGCAGCTGAGTGGCCTCAGTTTACCCACGCATAAAGTATAAAGAATGACTCCTGCTCTGCCCATTTTGGGCTGTCGTGGAAAACTGATCATTAATTGAAGGGCTTCGAAAACCAGGACATTCCTCGGGAGTGTGAGGGGGAACCAACGTTTACTTTGGAGCCAGGCTTAGGGCTAGAGAAGGCGGCTGCAGCTCTGAATTCGACCCCCGGCTCTTTCCTGAAGGCCCTGAATCTCTGGATACCTGGTGGCCCAGGCCATTCAGCTTGAGCTTTTGAAAATGCCGAGGATATCTTCTGTCCCTCCCCAGTCGTACCCCCTGTGTAGAGTCTGGTGGGTGGGGCTCCTGGAGGGGTGTACTTTCCTGTGACCCTCGTCATCACGCGACACTCACCCACCAACCTGGACTGACCTGCCTGGTTCCAGGGGCCTGCCCCAGGCTTCTCCAAGCCATATTCTCCTCTGGCCCTAAAGGCCTACCCAAAGGGGCCAACCATTGAACCAGGAAAGGGAACCTTGGCTGTGGGTTGGTGGGGTCCCCCAGGTACCATGCCTATGTTAACCCTTCTCTTCCTCCCTTTAATTTCTAACCATCTTCACTGTCTCCAATGTCCAGGCCCCGTACGGGGAGGTAGCAGTGACATTATCCACTGGAGTGACATTTGCAGTCCCTTATTTTTCAAGGA